ATCTTTTTATCCGAAGTATCCATGAGTAAAGCTGTGAACGTAGTGAACGTACTGTACTTGGTTTACATTATCTGTTATGCATGCGTGCACGCGTGCAGACAGGTGACACTGCATTTACTACTTTTAAGTGTTGCTTAAGATTTGTTCTATGTCAAAGCAGTTTTTTGTTCTTATTAAACTTTTTTCCATACAAATTATTGTAGTATGTTTCTTACTGGAATTTAAAGTTCTCATGATATTAGGTACGGTGTACCATTTCTATTTAAAAAAACCAACGGGAAATATTTTTTTTATCAGAAAATTCATGTAAATGTTATATGGACTATTGGAGAATCTCAGCTCGCATAACTGCAAATTAAATAAGACACTCATTCATTACATTAGAATTAATTAAATATTTTACTACTTATAGCTTACCATTTTCATTACGTACTTTCACACCTGTGTCATAAAATAATAACTCTTTATTAGATAGAAATATACTGTAATTTGTATTCTGTTATATTTATTTTTTTATAACGGTTGATTGATCAAAAGAGAAAACAAAGTGCAATACATTCGATTGACTAAGTACAGTATATAATATATGATTCCCAAGTACTCGCACACGTTCTTAAGTTTCGGTGTGAATTTTAATCCCTTAATCACGCCGAAATTTATTTTTTAGTTCGTTCATACTGCATAATAAATCTTCAATACAATTGCTTTTAGGTAAACCGCCTGGGCAACGAACTTCTCTGGCTACGAGAAATAATCTGCAAAAATTTCTACGATTATTTTTGTCATAAATAAATGCTTCATCTCGTAAAACTGCTTCTTTTTCGTTAACTAAGACATTTATATTTTTCCTTAAAGATTTTCTTAATTCTAAGTTTATACGATGAATATCTTTAGCCTGAACAACTATAAAATCCCAGTCGTCCACAATCACCATTCCGGAATTTTCCCTAACGTAACATGTTCGCCGGAAATGACTTTTGAATTGTGAAATGATTTCTTTTCCGGTTACATCACGACATACGATATGAATATTACAAGGTTTTGACGAAGAATTGGGATGTTCTTTACTATTAAAGAAATTACGAAGATTCTTCTTGTTGTTCTTGACCAATTTGCGAAAGTCCGCCAATAAACAGTTTGTGACCCCCTCCATATCGAAATCGTCAATGGGTGTCATCACTAAATCATTAATGGCTAATTCTTTTCCATCATCCAACAGTAGGAAATTTCCTCGCACAGGTATACACATTGCAATTTCAGAAAAATGAGATATTAAAAGAGTGGCCGTAGGATTGATGGGTAAACCTTTATAAAGACTGAAGTCATCACAAAATAAACAAAGTTTATAACCCTTGGCCCAAAGAGTAACTTGGTCAGAAAATTCGCAATTTAATTTCTTCCGAATATCGCCAGACATTATGTCTATTTCTACTTCTTGTGGTCTTCCGACGTATGGAATGAATATTCCGTGATACGAATCGGTTTTATATCTCGAAGATGAATTCCTAATAAAAATAACCCGTATAATGAAAAGGATAATAAGAATAATTGAAATAAAGAGAGCAGAAATGTACATTTTGCCAATGAGATGAAGAGAAATCCAGGGGGGTGGATGTAAAGGAGCTTCAGGTTGCAGAGGTTGGCTAATTTATAAATTGGTCAAAGTAATCCGACCGGAACTAGTTTAATTCAGGTTTAACTCTGGATTTTTAACGCTGGAGGGATACAATGCGTATATGTTATATGTTATTTTGCACTGCTCCTGTATTTTCAGAAGCTGTAAAAATGAGAAAAGGCTTGTGTCCTACATTTGATGAAGGTGCGTATGAACTTGTTTATTAGGTCTACAGAGATGTGTTATTCCCGATGCTCATATACTGTTTCTGATTGATACTCATGAGTTTTTTTCTGTCTATTCCTTTTTGTTTCTTTCATAGATGGAATTATTCGCAGCGCATTATACTGTATACATTATTTAATATTATATTTTGCGATTGTTGATTTTAAGCTTTTCTTGAAAAACAATTATTGTTAAGTTTGTTCTGCCCAAACACGTGCACATGCTTTAAAGCATAAATGTACGAATCATTTGAAGTAGTACGGTATGGTACTAGTAGAGTCAACAAACAGTTGTTTAGAATCTCGTGTCCAATCGCATTCTCCGGATATGTGAATTGTTGTTCAAATCAGGAGCACTAATACGGTATGTACAGTATGTATTATGTCAAAAAGTAATATAATTGGATAAAATATTGATTAAGACACCCATTATTAAAATTGTAGTATACGATTAAACTTTCACACGGTAGAAGAAAAAAAAGATGGTTTGCACTGACCGGTTTTCCCTCATTAAGCAGTCCACCAGCCCTGTGTCCTTAAACCTTATCCGAAGCATGATACCTTCACTGCCAGCCGATTGTCTTGACGGAGTACTACAAAGTTTACATGACGACGCTGGATCTTTGTACTCTTGCATGTTGGTGAATAGGCTTTGGTGCGAAAGAACGGTACCAATCTTGTGGTGCAACCCTTGGCAAAGTAGACAGCTTCTAATAGATCGTAGACCTTGGCCAGCTCTAGTGAGAACACTTTTGTCATGCCTGTCGGAGGAATCGAAACAGTTTTTGAAGAAGAATGGAATAGAATTATCACCGCAGATTTCGAGACGCCCGCTCTTCGATTACATAGGGTATTGTCAATATCTTTCGCCTTCCGTGATCGATAACATGAAAAGAGAAATGGTCAGAGACGACAATCACACAAACCTGCCGAGAGCCTATCGAGAAACACTAATAGAACAAGAATTTTATAAGATGTTCATGACTAGAGCCCTTCTAAAATGTCTTACACTGCCTAAAATTCCATTAACATATTGCCCGGGTGCAAACGTGTGTTTGGAGAAATTACGTGAACTCAGGTGTCACACAAATCAGTTACCAGAATTATTTTACGGGTTAGCACAGATATCTCGTAACATCATACGATTAACCATTTTCCCGTGTGATGAAGATAACGAAGGATTAGTGTCATTGATAAAATTGCAAAATGGATTACAATCGTTAGTACTGGAATCATCAGAAAACCTTGTTAGCGAATGTCCAAAGATGGGGTCTGCGTTGACCACACAGGCACATTCTTTGACATTTGTCAAATTCAGAAAGAGTCTGTGTATCTCTCCAGAAATTCTTGCGTCATTTGTAAATTTGAAAATTCTGCAACTTGACATTTCAACGGGAATCCCAAATATGGAACAATTAGCATACACTTGTTTGCCGAACTTAGAAATTCTCGATATTTTCCGCGATGAGAATACCCCGTTTCACATTTATACTAGACTTATAGAGAACGCATCACCGGGAATTCAACGTGTCTATTGGGACGTGATTAGTCCTCCATCAAGTTCTTCTGAAATAAAAAATTATTATCAGATTCTTTCCTTATCCTGTACATCTCTGAAATTTGTCTCTGTTTGGTGGGATGAAGAGTGCATAGAGGATCTCTATCATCTACTCACCTCATGTCATCAATTGGAGGCAGTTAAGATCTGCTCTCCGATTGATGACACAATACTAAATAAAGAAAACGAGATATTTGAAATGCTAAAAAAAGCAATTCCCAGGGACGTCAAGTGGGCATATTCGGATTCCGCATTGCAAGATTTCCTGGAATCCAGAAGAGACAAGAATCAACTCACGTTATTCCTACCGTGAAATGCGAAAATTAGATTATTTAGATGCATTGAGGGAGGGGTGTGTTAATAGATTTCCTGGATGCTCTCGTGGTATATATATTTAAAACTTGGCGAAAATTTGGTAATATATCTTCCTTTTAACTGATTTGCGAGATTTCCATGATCAAATATTCTTAAAAATTTGTCATCTAGTGGTATTCATTATACCATATTCTCGAATTACGCATAGCTTAAATTACCTTACCAAGGATGTCATTGAAATGCGGGACATATAATAGACTTTTTTCAACAATACTTTGGGGAGACGGAAGGGATTTATAAATTTCTACATTGACTACATTTGTCTTCTGCATTGTATATCTCTTCCCCTCCCCGATTCACCGAGATTTTCTCCGATCAATAAACATGCATTATGCTTTTTTCTGGAGAATGGTTTGGGTTTATGTACTATGCATTCATGATCCGAAAAGGTTTTGCATGCGCGTTTGCGACTCCATTTAAATTACCGATATTAAAATCCGGCACTTAAAATTTCTGAGGTAAAATCATACAACCATCTAAAAACAGTTCAAATCATACGATTGTTTAAAATATATGTGCAATAAATGATGAGACACATAAATTATTATAATTAATCGGAAATAGTTTCTACATGTAAAACTTTGTATTTTATCAATCAAATTTAGATTTTATGTATTAAGTAAACTTATTCCTCATAATGAATTTTATATACAGTAAAATTTTTATCAAATTTGAATAAACTTTTATTATTACATTTAAACAATTTTTTCCAAATAAAAAATTTTTTATATTTTTTTAAAATTTTGACATCCATTCTATTTTTATAACTATTGTTTTAACAAGCAGTTAGCCTATATTAGAGTACTTCAATTTAAAATTTTATAAAATTTTATCCAATATTTAAATTTTTATTTAATAAAATGTATAGTCTTTTTAATATGTTTAAAATTACTAATCAGAAAAGTTATTATATACTATATAAAGTTTTTATTTTATTAATTAATCCAATTTTATATCTATGTAATTTAATCTGGCTTAACAAATTCTACTTATAGCAAAATTTTTATTAAATTTAAATAAATTTTTATTAATATATTTAATGATTTTTTTTAAAAAATTTTTATTTTATTTTATTTTTTTAATATTTTAATATTCATACTATTCTTATAATTATATTTTAATAAATAATTTATTGTTACTGAATTTTGTTCAACATATATTAAAATATTTAAATATTTAAATAATAAAATATATATAATTTTTAATAATTCAAGATTCAAAATTTTAATTTAATAATCATTAAAATATTAATTGTATAATAATTATTTATTAATTGTATCTTTATTTACATACTTATTTTTTTTATTATAGTCTAAATAATTACTAAAAAAAAAAAAAAAATTATTTTTAAATGTAAAAAAATTATTAAAGCTTAAAAATATGAAATAAAATACAAAAAAGATTATTGAATACTAAATTATTTAAAAAATATTATTTATAATATTATTTTTATTTGTACAAATAAGAATTATAAAAAATTTATTCTTGAAAATAGCAAATTATTTATTATAATAAAAAGAAATTATAATTATTTAACAATAATTGTTAAAAAAAAAAACTATATTTCAAAAAATATATAAAAATTTTTTAAATTTTTTATTGAAAAATTGAAATTAAAAAAACTTTTGTAAATAAATTTAATAAAAAAAATTATTATAAATTGAAGAAAAAAAAATTGAAAAAAGAACTAAATAATATTATTTGAAATAATAAATTCAAAATTGAACTATTTAAAGAAGATATAGATTAGAAAAAAATCAAATAAATTATAATATGAATTATTTTATTTCTATAATAAATTTCAATCAAGAAATAATAATTTAATAATATTTTATTAAAAATAGTTTTAATTATTTAATTAAATTATAAAAAATAATAATAGTATAAATTTATATAAATATCTTAAAAAATAATTTATTATCTTATATAAAAAATTCTTTTTATTGATCCTTTAACTATATATAAAAAAGATGTTTGCAAGGAGTTTTTATATTTCTTGAATAATAAAGTCTTTATACTTTTCTTAAAATAACTTAAAGCTTGTCTTCAGGAGTTGCTATTATTCTTTACTATTTATTTATAAACTCTGTTGAACAAAAACTTGAATTTTTACTAATCTAAACAAACTCAAGTATATATTTTCTCTATTAAAAATAGAAATATTCTAAGGAGTTAAAAAATTAATTTGTGAAATATTACTTTTTAAAACTGAATATAATATAAAAATAAGGTTTTTATTGACAGAAAAAGATTTATTATTTATCTTCTCATATGCTATCTCTGATTCTCTTAAAATATTTATTGTTTTTTTGAGAAATTTTGTCTATTTCAATTTGATATTAAATTTTTGATAGTACAATATTACTTGATATCTAATTAATTAGTATAAAATATATCTGTAGCAAAATATAAATAAATTTTTGTTAGTTATATTCACATATTCAAATAATATTATTAATAAAGAAAAGAGAAATCATTAATATAAAGTTTTTCTTTTTTCCAAATAAAGTGTAATTGAAGTAAAAAAATTATAAGATTATTAGAATGAATATTAAATTTTATAGATAATAAAAAGATAATTATATATTCAAGTTAAGATCTTTAACATTTATTATTTTAGTTAAGCAAAGTATATAAAAAAGATTATTTTTTATTCTGATTAAGTAATAAGACTGAAAAATAAAAAATTTTAAGTTATTATACTTTTTTAAAATTAAGAATATATTTCTTCAAATATTATATAATAATATTATAATTGATAAGAATCCTTATTATTCTTGAGATCTTTTTATTATTACAAAGTAAAATAATTATTGAAAAATCCGACTTTTAGAATAATAAAAGATATTTATTAATAAATTTTCTTTAATTAAATATGATTATCAGAAAATATGAAAAGCTACACAATATAATTTCAGATTATATAAAAACCTAATATTTATAATAAGTTATATATTCATATAAATAAATAAAAAATAAATATTAGTCATCAGTAAGTTTCTATAAAAAAAAAAAAAAAACTCTTTCCGCTGATCCTCCTTTTTCCTAAAAATTTCCTTTTTTGGCAATTTTTTTTGAAAAAGCA